GTTCAAACTGACACAAAAACACAAAGCTTTAAACTATACACAAGACGTTACGGAAAGTAAATAAAAGAAACGTCTTATAACACTTAAAACATGCTTACTGTTACTCACAAGACGGTAAATATACAAAAAAGATGGTAAGTGGTGATCGATTTCCACTTACCATCTTTTTTGTATATTTACCGTCTTGTGAGTAACAGTAAGCATGTTTTAAGTGTTAAGACATTTCTTTTACTTACTTTCCATAAATCTAATAACACGTACAATGCTGATCAAGAAGTTATTTACAAAACGTAAGCAAATTTTACTGAGTTGAAGAGTATAAAGCTTTGTGTTTCTTGTGCCAGTTTGGGTTCTTTCCTATTAAAGTAAGCTTACTATCCTCAAAAAATCCAAAAACCTAAACCCTTGTACCTAATGCTTGTACTCTAGATGTCATCCTTAACCTTAAAAAACCTTATGACATTGTTTAACCCATCAATGCAATAAGTCGCACAAATAACTGTACATCCACGCTAAAGTATTTACAAATAGAACCACAACAGTTTGTTGTGTGCTGAATTGCACATCAAGCGTAAGCTGTTCGTGCAGGTGCAGACAAGTTCGTGTAGGAATGTTGCCTCACCTGTATGGAATATCACTGAGGTTACTTTGGCTGTGGGAGTGGCCCACCCGGTCCCGAGTAATGCCGCTGACGGCCAGCTCGTGCGCCGACCCCGTCAAACTCCTGTCGCTGCCTCGTCTTCGGCTCACTGCCGCTTGACTACACGCAGCTGCTGCGGCCGCTTGCAGCCCGCTCAGGTTAGGTGCAGCACTTGTTGAACTCTTCTTTTTTCCAGCGCCTCCGAAGCCAAAAAACCTGGTAAAAAATAAATTTGTTATTGAGAATCCAAAATGTAATTGAGGAAATTGATGGATTATTTATTTGAAGACGAATAAGGATTATGATGACGAATTGGTAAAAGCAAGGAAAAGAAAAACATGGATTGGTTGCAGACCTTTAAACAGACCACAGTCTGCAAATGAATACATGGTTTCTTAGCAGGGGGGTTCTTGGTGTCCCACCAGCAACCTCCACAGTTGGATATTGGGAGTTCTACAACTTCTAATAATTAAAGTGATTTCTAAGAACATTACAGTTGAAAGGTAGCATTTCAATTACCTTTTCTTAGCAGAGGGCTGGACCCCGGTAGCAAGTAGATTCTTATAGTGGTCAGAGCGTATAAAGCGAGGGTAACAGTCTTTCTTGAGTAGCAGAGTGTACACATGCTCGGCCGCGTAGTCAAACGTCCACCGCGTCGGGTTCTTCATCTCTTGTTGCGTTTTCTCCATAGTTTTACCATCGATGTTGATCTCACAAGGCGCGCCAGGTGCCAAGAACTCCCTGAAAAGTTTAAGGACGAGCTTTATGATCAACCAAAGACGTATACCCTTCGAGACACTTACACAATTTTTCAAAACAAAGCTTGCACTTTTCTTTGGAATTTGTAACAAATTTTATTTCCTATGCTTAAGTTCCAATGAGTCAGGTAGGAGGTACTTACTCGTAAATTTCCTGAACCTTTAGTGGAATTTGTGAATGGGAACTTCTGCGCAAGTCTCTGACGGCCATCCAAAACCGAATGTTCTCATGGCTGTACTCCTTCCGTAGATAATTGGTAAACTCTTGGATTCCTAGATGAAAAATCACGGTATTTGAACTATAATAGTTTTAGTATTTTAAATTATTCGTTGATAATATGTAAATTAGTTTTTGAACCAACATCGTGAAAAACTGAACATGATTCTTTTGGTGCTAACAAGATTTAAGTGAAATATTCTAGCAACAAGTAGGTCTAGCACAACACAAACAAAACAGTTGAAACATGAAGTAATAAAACCAGCTGCTACACTATAGCTCTGGTGACTACTACCACAGTAGCACACTTGTACAATATAGAAGACTCCCGCTTATACAATAACGAGTAACTGAGTGATCGGGACGAACAAAATAGAACGCAAACTTAACCTAAAATGTCCTCGCAATAACTATGACTTGAATGTATAGTTAAGCTCTAATAAAGGTTTAAGTAAATGCAGTGAAGATTAATTTGGACAAAAATATCTAAAAAAAAACACCAAGTTAAACTTTAATTCATTGGTTTATCGGTGACAATATAATATCAATGGTTGGTGTAGTCAGTCAACCACGGCAACTTTATAGTCTGCCCGCAAGATGATGGGCCTTCATTCTAAACATTTTCATCGTCGCTGTATAATGTACATTTAACTTTTTTAATTTTAATTTTTTTGCTATCCTAGTTAATTCTCATGTAGATATCGGGAGTCTACTGTAGTAGTTTTTACAAATACCGTAGTTAAAATTATACAACAAACCTGTTTGATCCGACACTAGGTCTTCCATGGAAAGGCCCCACCTCTTTACTCTTTTCTCTGTAGGCACTTCTACACTGTAAAAGATTGAAAGGTTTAGGATAAAATTAAAACAGCTGTAAAACTAATTTCAGTGGATTAGCTAAGATACTTCTGTCAAAGATGCTTTTTTTTCGTTCATATGGTTTCCCTTTATGACATAATATTTTGTGATGAGAGACATTAATATTTTTCATAAAACAAATTTTTAACTTTGATGTCTCCTTAAGGTTGTTTTGACTTGGCATAATATGTTTTGCCTAAGGAAACATCATCAGAGTTAATGAGTTAATACATCAAACGCTATGACCACTGTGAGAACTTTAGGTTTGCTAAAGTATTGCCAGTTCAAAAAGACAGAGGTGTTACAAGTTTAGCTTTTATACCCAAGAATAAGATAAAACATGTAATTGAGTACACTACACAGACAATTGATTCAATTGAATATGATTTATTGCAGCCATTCAACTTAAAATTTAAAACATTTTCACCACACTATGATGTTTTTGGCTGTATTACATACGTTAATTGGTGGCTGAAAGTTACGTTTTGCTGACCATGCCAGCTGTCATCGTAATTTGGGGACCGAGCAGGTTTTTACAGGCCGGGGCCGCAAAATCAGCTGTCCGCTTACTTACTTAAAACATGAATGCATTCTAAATACACAATCAAAATCCATAGCATTGCAATAATAGAATTGTGTTATTGTCACCATTGCCTCTAGCAACTATTTATTTTTATTTTTGCTGATTCCTCAAATTATTTCTTCACATGACCTTAAAGTTGTAGTTGTGTTGACTATCAGTGTGCATTATTATAGTGGTGAATAGTGGTAATAGGGTATAGTGTGGTGAAAAAACATTTTCATACATTTTACAAGTTGAGTAAATTAAAATAGCATCATAAATCAGTCATCAAAACATAAAATATCATAGTTTAATTCTAAACTTGATGTATACAAACTTTCTCTTGAGTTTAAATAATAATACTTACATAGGACTATTAAAATGCCAGAACGCAGTGTCTTCGGAGTGCCACGGGTTGGAGGGCTGAGCTCCGGACAACAAAGGGTCGTACTCCAGATAAGTGTCACAATGCTGCATCAGACCTTCCAGAGCCTGCGACACCTTCATGCGCGACCGACTCATACATCCCCGCAGAAACTCCACCTACACAGACAGTGAACCGATTGTTGCATTCCATCTGCCCAGACAGCACACTTTATCCCAGGGACATCCTATAGTAGTCCCATATGTCCTGAGAATGTCTCGGGATATGTGCGCTATCCTCAGGATATCCCGCAAAATCCCGGGACAAGTACGAAATCCACAGGATATCCTACAATATACCGTAATGTCCCGGGATTTGTAAGTTAACCTCAGGATATCCTGTAAAGTCCCGGGATATGTACGAATGCCATAGGATATCCCAGAATGTCCCATGACATCCCGGGACATGTCGGCTACTCTTTAACCACTTGAAAACACCCATAATCAACAAGCGCAGATAGCTCAGGAGGTAAGGTAAGAGGCTCACAAGGCGAAGGTACCAGGTTCGAAACCTGTCTGGGCCAAAAACTTTTTTCTCGTTTTTTTCTTCAAAATTTGTGTTTATTAACTGTTTAATCAATTTACTAAACTTATAATTAAGCTTTTCATACTAAATCTATATTATTTTGTGTTTTTTATGTTCAGGCCCAGACCACACTTTATCCCAGGGACATCCCATGGTAGTACCATATGTCCTGAGAATGTCCTGAGGACTACCCTGGGATGACCTCGGATGTCCCACGGATATGCGTGTGAGCTTATCCGTAGGACATCCCCGGGCGGGGACATTAGGCATTCCTGTGGATATCCTGTGATATCCCAAGTTGACCATAGGACCACTATGGGATATCTTGCATATCCTGTCGCAATATCCGTGGGATGTCCTGAGGAGAAAGTGTGCTGTCTGGGAAACTCCACCTACACAGACAGTGAACCGATTGTTGCATTCCATCTGGCGTCTCACTAACTACAAATACTAAAGTAGCACACTTTACTCCACAGTAAATTAAATCTTAGCCCCATGGGCCTCCAGTTGGTTGAAATGAAATGTTTATTTGTCACATAGAATTTACATAATTGTGATACATCACCAGTAAACATATGACACGTCAGTTTTTCACAACAAAATACATGATATTATATCATGGTACCATTGACTTTTCATCGCATTTATATAGGACCAGCTGTATAGCCTAGGCTATACAAAAAAGAACATAATTGTGAATAAGCTACATACAGTTAAGCGCCACAGTATAAAATTATATTTTCTGCATTAGTTTTTGTTACTGTATAGTTGATTTGTATTATAAATGATGTAGCTTACAACAAGGTATCAGTTTGACTTGGTTAAAAAGCCAACGTATTGGTCAGAAATGAGTCATTTACATCAGTCAAGCCTGGTTTACACGGGTCGAGTACGGCGGGCGAGTCAGTGTGCGAGTTGCCACTCGCTCTTTAACTCGCTTGGTGTAGACATGCAGGCGAGTCGAGCAACGGGCGAGTTGATAAAAAGAGGTCAGTTGAGAGCGAGTCGAGTGATTTAGTTGAAAACCGAGTTGCTCGGCCCAGTAGCTACCCCCACCACCACGATTTGCCCGCAAAACATCTGTTTACTGCTATCAAGTGAGTCCAGCGACCACAGAATAAAAATATTTTTTTTATTTTGTGGTCGCTGACAATGAGTCGATCACAACGATCAATATTAATTTTACATTTTAAAACGTTTTTATTAGCTCGCTTTCTTGTTTGGAGTTAGTTCAGTAGTGTATGCCTAATCACCCTCAATACTCAATGGTTCAGTTGAACAGAGTTGGCCCTGTGTTGCATTGTCTTCCTGTTCGTAAATTTACTCACTCTTATAAAATTCAGTTTTCAAAATTGTTGTACAACTCAAGTTCTACAGTTCTACTGGAACAATTTCATTAATCAATGGGTTGTTAGACAGCTCACTCCCTTAAAATGTTTTTTATCAGAAATACATTGAAAACGGTGTTTTCACATTTTTTTATTTGGAGGCAACTTTTGGTTGCCTATATATTTTATTTTAAAGAAATGCAGTACCGGTATAGTAATTTGTAACAAATCTTATTCTTTTAGAATACCGTATCACCTTCCACTTTGGTCTATCGTATTTGCAAAAAAAAACTTTTAAGCAACCACTGAATTTAATGGGTGATTCAGTTTTAATTCTAATAATCTAATTCAGTGATTTAATTAATTTATAAATTCAGCATTAAATTCTTGAAGTCCCATTTTAAACTCAAATATTTAACACGAAAGCTACGGTATACGGAATACCCTACACAACAGAACATAGATAAATTATTATAAAAATTACTTCTCTGTGCCTACACTGTCGCTGTTCGAAATAGGAATGCGTGTAGACAGTCTAGTAAAGTACCGGGCGAGTTGAACAAATCAACAACTGGGCCTAGTAACTGGGCCGAATAACTCGTCTGAAATACTCGACCCGTGTAAACCAGGCTTCACTCTTGTACACAATGACCTTTTTGATAAAAAATTGTGACTACTCTTTAACTTAGAGATAATAGCATCTAGATAAACAGACTCCTTTAGTTAGTAGATTTCTCATCCTTATGGAACAGCTGAAACCAATTTTATTGTTAGTTCTGTCTGGTGCACTATAAAGGTTGTGTTTCGTTTACAATTTGTTTCTTTCAGTCATTTAAAACCCCTCGTATAACTATAAATAAAAGAACCTAATTATAAACAATAACTCGTCCTCTAGTTATATAACCAAACAGTAAAGCACAAATCACTGAAACTAACACTAGAATAACAGAAACAAAATTTTATCCACTATAGAGATCAGTGTCACTGGACATGAAATAGACACGAAAAACAGGCTTCAAAATTTACAATGGGATGAGAAGTTTACTTGTGTTGGTTAGTCTATGATAATTATAGCTTCTTGACAACAGTGGGATGACGATTGAGTTCTGTCAAGGTAAAGTCAAATTTTAGCCACATGGATCTTGTGTCTGTGGACATTTTTAAGCATACATAGCAAGGGGTGAACTGCGTGATTAACTGTATGTATAAAATATTAGTGATGACACAGGGTTGCTGTTGTGATCCATGAGGAACAAAAGTAAAATCGTTAACGATGACGGACTCAGCGCAACTCCAACACCGCCTGTGATTGTGTGCTACGATCGGCGACAAATTTGTTTTTAAATGTATACATGTCCATGTGATTAAATTTTTTTTGTATCAAGAACAATGTGTTAAACTAATCTCAAGAGGATGACAAGGTTTAAAACAGAACTTTAATGTTTTGAAACTAGACACTTGAGACTACGACAATGATGTTAAGGTACGTAACCTGTTAGTTACATGTCCCAATCAATCCTGGTGGCAATGATAAATAAACTAAACGACAGTTCAACAGTCCTACCTCTCTGCGGACGTCTGTGCTAGTCCGACGCCGCCTGGACCCCGAGCCACCGCGGTTGCAGACGGGGACCGGCTCCAAGGAGGAGGTGAAGCCTGGCGGGGGCCGATGGATCCGCCAGTATGCTCGCTCTTGACTGTCTGACACTATCTTGTCTCCTTTCTTTCTCTCTTTTGCCAGACGCACCTAAAATCAGACCGATCAGTATTTCTTTTCCATTAAAAACAACTAAAATTCTTTAGCTATAGTACTTTCACGCTGTGTTCCAGTGTGGTATCTCAGAGGACATAGAAATCAGAAGGTGCGTGTTGTGGACTTGAGAAAACTCAAACTCTTTTTATCTTGGCTAAAATCATTTAAATTTATACTCCCTGGTGTGAAGTACTACGACTATGCACAGTGCTATCATAATTAGACCGATTCGTTAATACCAAGATTTAATGGTAAGATGGTCAAGTGGAGGGGATAGATTTCTTCCCCTACAACCGCCTACATTTTGTGAACAGAGTATAGTTTTTCACTTTAATTAGGACTGTAATAATCTAAAGTGAAACTTTGACCAGCTGTCCTCAATCATTAATGATTCTAAATAAAGAAACAGCTGATTTTAGTCGGTAACAAAGCTTATAGGTCATCTAGTTGCTCTTCAATCGCAATTCAGCTTAAAACACAATGTGTATCACCACCCCTTAATGAACTAATCAACTAATTAGGTTTCTTAGAAAAAATGCCAATTTGAATTAAATTAGCTTTAATAATTTAGTAGGTATATATAGATTTGGCTGACTTTTCTCAGTAGTACTCAACCAGCGAGATATAGATCTGAAGGTAAGCACCATAATTACTCATCTACCCAATCTCGTGTATTGCCAAAAACTAATGTATGATGCTATTTGTAATACTGATAACTAAATCTTTGCTGGAATCGACAGATTCATATTGCATTTGTTTCTTATTTAAGTCAGGAAAAAAAACTTAGTCAAACATAGTAATTATAAAGAGGATGGAAGTAATGAAAAGACAATCCAAAAGTAATATTAACATTCAAACTTGTGGGTTTCATTATTTTAATGGCTGCATAATCACCTGTTCTTCTGCTTGCATAGAAATGAAGTCCCATTTGTTTTGAAGAGTCTTTTTGAGGGATCCAAGAGCTTCCTAAAACAATAATAAAAACTAATAAACATCTTTATCTACAGATTACTAAAACAAAATATGAAATGTAAACTCCAGGAGTGTTATAACTCCACTCACATGTAAAATAAAATGCATAGTTTGAAAGAGAACACAGTACAGCCTTTTGGGACTTTCCCGCTCTAGGGTGAAAAAAATCCTAAAAAATACTGCTGCATGGTATGGTTTTGGCGCTCTCTGTTTCCTTTGTTGTATATCACAATGGTTTGAGTATATACCTGCTAGATTTGAGTACCGGTACCTCTAATTTTATAAATCAAGCTCAAGCTTACAACTTGTTATGACTGATCACATGATTGTTTACTATTTAACTCACAGTTTCATACTCCTCCAAGCCATGGCGCTGTTTGTTGCGTAGCGTACGTTTGCACAGGTAGATTGCGTACTCTACGTTGTCCGGACTTCTGTGTTGCCAAGGCCAGTAGTAAGGAGTCTGCAACAACGACAAAACATCAGCTTGAAGTCACAACAACAACAATAAAACATCAGTTATTAATTTCTTTTGGAGGTTGACAGCCTCTTTTAACCTTGCATAAGCCTGTCCACATAGGCAACAGATCTGTGTGTGGAGACAACGTATCCAGCAAAGCAAGGGGTGAACAGGTACAGTACAATAAGGGTGGACTGTACTGATAAAATTTAGTATCAAAATTTAGTTTTATTCACCTAGTGATTGTTTTACAGGAAACACCACAATAATCTTTGAAAATTAAAAGGCTACTGCATTATTTAGTTATTTGTTTTTCTTCCGAAACAAGTTTTGAACACACTAAAATGCACAAGTCCCTCTCGTAGTTTACTAAATCGTCAATCAAAATTACAAAGCTAGCAAACAAAGTGCGATTCTGACATTTCAAACAATTTCAATAGTCAAATCAAATCCATGTTGCAAAGCTGAATCAAACAACCAATATCATCATTGTGTTCATACCTTGAAATTGTATCTGAGGTAATAACTATGACCAAGCTTACACTAACAATACTGATTGAATCTGAACATTGGAATTGTACCTAATTAAAATGTGTTTTTAACTTTGTTCGACTAGATTAAATTATGTATGTGATTGTGCTTGGCTAAGAGATAGATTTATATTTGATAGAATTTATTAAAAACATTTTAATGTAGAAACAACTTACTGTATTTATATTGAATACAAGCTACTTCTAATAAAAAAACAAATCGTTGTACTAATAAATGAGATTTATCTTAAAATCTCTTAAGTGCTGAAAAAATTCATCTTGTTATCAAGTTATACATTACAAACTTTGGCTTATTATAAAATTCTGTTTCTATATTAATTGGACTGGATTTTATCATTCACAAATGCAAGGGCATTTCAAAATGTATCTCGCTATTAAAATGTTCTTGCCAATCGAGGTTGCTGTGTACTGTACGATGATTAGGATAAGTTATGTCTAACATATTACAAGTACCCTTCGGAGTTTTAGTCAATAATGTCTATTTGCAGCAAGGCCAGTGTTAAGCTTCCAACTACAGAATGTACAGATAAGTTTATCTGGAATGTAAGAATGAGGCGAAGATTATGTCTAGGTTGGACAAAAGATGACATTCGCAGTGTGAACCACTCTGTGGATTGCGGCTCAACCAGAGCGTGAAGCTGAGATGAAATGTCACAGCTCGGGGGTCAGTTATGGAAACGCTGTTTTCAACAATTCTGATTGAAAATAAAACCCTTTAGGAATTCAGTTTTCATAGTTTTAAACGAAAACAATATAATACGTTTTATTTTAGATGATCACAGTATTCTTACCTTATGTCTATGTTGTTTTTTTTTCAAATAGCTGTCCTATTACAATTCACATTTTAAAACTGTTATAAAGTAAGTTGATCAGCGTCTGGACTTTTGAAAGGATACTCTAGGAATCAATCAAAAGCTAGGAGGAAGAAGCTCTGAAGGAAATTGTCTTTTGACTTACTACTCGTCTCTATGCTATATCATCATAAGCTTTTAAAATGACCAGTCAATTGTGAAAATCTTATCAATAAAGGAAACCTGATTATCTACTGGATCGTAAGATTTTTACTGCATACAAAAAAATTATTATATACTTAAAAAAATACTTTGCAAAAATTACAAAAACTGTATTTATTTTTTCAATGCACATAATTGAAATTACAATTATAAATTGTTATCATTGACAACTCAAAGTTTTTCCACATTAGTAAAAGATTATAGGGTCTTCTTAAATCATAGGCTAAATTCTGGCAGCTGGTGTCCATAGAAAACAGAATTTATTGGTACTCATCAATAACAAGTAAAGACATCTACCGATCAGTCACCTTCCTCAAAAGGAGGTGATCGGTGGACAGCAGGCATTTAGGTAGGTGCTTGGTCATTTAAGATATCTGAATAAAACAACTTATTGTGGTGTGAAATAATTCAACAAATCTGGATAAAGCGGTTTCAGACTTTGGCCTGCATCTTGAACCGGAAATGAAGTCAAAATTATTGTGATAAGTCAGAAATGAGGAAATAACATTACATTTAACTTGATCACAATACTCTATGATGCATATGATTTATACAGCTCAGTAATTATTTTGAGGTTTATGTAGATTGCCAATATACATCAGGGCTTAAGTGCTACAACTTCTAATGAGGTTTAATGTCGGATTGATTGTATTCAATCAATCTGAGCTGGCTGACGCTTTGACTGATCTGTCTTATAAATTACAGCTTTGCGCTTTGAATCGAGTTCTCGTTCAAAAGGTAATGATTTCTCGTTAGTTTACATCATAAATTTAGACTAAAAGCTTTACCAATATTTCTGTACCTGAATGTCTAAGACTTTTTTGAAAGAAAATCAGATTCTGAGATTGTTATAATTCCATTTTCAATTCTATAGCCTAGTTCAAAACAGTGGCTCGTATTTTAAGCTGAATATAAAACAAATGGTGAGTGTAAAATGATGTGAGACGCGTTAAGTAGATTTGTTACTACGCCGTTTGATGGCTTCTGTAATAATGTGTGTTTGAAGTAAGGTATAGCTGGGTGGCTGAATCTGAATACTGTGTGCCTAGTAATCAGTTTTTTCCTGGATCTATCCTGAGGAAATTCAAAATCTTTTCCGTGATTTGAAACCGGACCCAGCTGTTTCATGACTATTAGGCTTTTAATAAATGATCCTAGTTAAAGATACAGCTGATCTTATAGTAACAAAGCTATATTCAGTCAACATTCATCTTTACCTTAAAATACACACGGTTTGTCGGTGTTGTAAAAATCCAATTAAAAAAAATTAGCCGAATACTATGATACAGACCTGAAACCTGTAGAGGGAACTGTCATCTTTGACTACAAGGTTCTTGGAGTCGCTGACGGGGAAGAAGTAACCGTATTGACAGAGTTGGTTGGCTAGATGGACCGCCTCTACTGCAACAGAAATAGTTACAAGTAACCAAACTACAACAGGAGAAAAGTGGTTAATAAGTCTGAGAGAAGGAGGTTGCCGCTAGTTTGATTTAATTTTCAGTAATGTTATTCATTAAATTTGAGGGGTAAAGCAAGTCTGAGCCTATAGTCTGTTTGCTAAACCAGTACGGCTGGCTCAAGGGTTGACCCTAGTCCTAGTCAAGGTTTTACCTTCAGTTGGTTCAATTCCTTTTTTGGAGGACTGGTTTTACGTTGATTACTTTATAATTCAGAAATTCTGAGGGCTACAATAATGAATAAATATGATAATGCAAGAATGAATATAGGTGTCACACATTGCCGAGGGAGCACTTAGGTGGATCAACTACTATACAACTAATAAAAATTCATTTTTTAAATATGAGACAAAAAAAATTCTTAATCCGAAACAACTATTATAATATTATAAATAATATGTCTTTGTTCAATAAGACAATCAACTTATTTTGTTCTCAAATATTTTGAGACTAACATCTTCTATTGTTGAGTGCAACCCAAAGGACACCCTAACCTGAATCTGAATCTGAACCCTATCCTGAGCTTAATCCTTATCCTGAAAACCTACGCATTTCATTTTCTGTATTCTTTTTCATTTTCAAATTTTCTACAGCTTTTTAAATAAATAAATAACACTGTAATGACTCCTACATCTGCTAATGTTGCTTTAACTGCTTATTCATTACAGAAGATCTGCATGTGAATACATGGAAACTCCATTACTTCTCTCAAACAATGCTACCTACCAACAGTAACAGTTTCATTCCCTTCTCACATCATTGTATACTTGACTAAAGTTATATTTGTATTTTAAAATTAAACAGGAATAGTTTCCATGAAGCATTGGGTCACATAGTCGTTCCTCCCAAATTTTAATATAAACAAAATCTATTCATACCAAAAGTTGCTTAACTGAAATAAATAAACTACAAGTACCTATTATATTCGTGAAACTAATAAACTCTGTTGTTTCATTATAAGTTTCTCTAAATTCTAAAATAGTAGTTTGTCTAATCATTTATGAATTGTTACATAACTGTACATTTTACAACGCTTAATTGTAAAACCCTCGAGTCTCTTTCTGCCAGTAAACCATTACTTTGCTCTAAAATGTGTCTATGATGTTTTAGTTGTGTATCAGAAATCTTTTTGTGTGTACAAAATTATAATTATTTATTCCAAGGAAAACACTGCTTCATACTTTTTCCTGAGAAGTTCAGAGGTATGACAGATTTTTAGACTGGGCTGATCTACATCCCATATGTAGATTAAAAGAACACAACAGGAAGAACCAAGCTCAGCTTCATAAATTTACTGTTTTGCTCTTAGGTATTTTTTTTACAAATACCATTAAAATAATGGTGTGGGATCTGTTATGTTTGATTTAATAAGTCAGTTTTCCTGAAACAAATGTTTATGTAAATTTTCTCTAGTAAAACTACTCATTATAAAATAAATGCTCAGCATTATGTGTTTAGTTTCAGCATAATTGTAACAAAAAACTTATTCATGTCATGTGCAGGGTTATTTAACTCGTGAAATAACATCTGTATTATTTGCCCCATTACTTACAGAAACACATTTCTTGAGGAAACACGCAGAATTGCCCCGCACAGGAAGAGGCGACATGAATCAGCTGATGATTTATTCTGTCTTTCCGTCTCTCCAAAATGAGGTTCATTTGTCAAAGCAAATGCAAACACATTACTGGGAAATGAGGGTTAAATTGGTGATTTAAATGTTAAGAGGCTGCCTCAACACCTCTGCTTACTGTGAATGTTTGCACTAACCATACATGTTTCTAGTAATATACAAGGACTGTCCGTAAAAGGTCTCCTTCAAGCTCTCGACGCAATCAAGCAAACAATTTCAGACCATCATTTAACTTAACTTCCTACTATTCTAGTCTAGCTGATTCCCACCCTGTGGGACGATTAGTCTGGAAAAACTTTCAAAAAAAGCCATTGCTGAGTTCCCCGCTAAGTTAAAACCACGTTCTCCGTGATTTCTTTGGTCTCAGTAGTCATAACCGCTACTTGACGGAATTGAATGGAGTAAAGTGTTTGGACGTAGAAAATGTGTTTCAAGGGGGGGGGGGGAGGGAGGGAGTTCTGAGGCGAACAAATCATTGCACGATGTTTCTCGTGGTGTAGGGTGACTGCTGTACGTTGTTCTTGAGTTCATCAATTGCATTTGCCGAAACTTAAAGGGATTCCGCATGCGGATCGTGGTGTGACTGATTGAGAGAGATTATTGAACTAGCAAGAGGCTTCTATAAGACTATAGTCAGCACTGGAAGTCTGAAAGACGCTGATCTGCAAGCAAACATGCCTCAAATTCCATTACTGTACGATGGAAACTGATGACACGTGCATCTGGCTCGTTTGTCCGAACACTGCTCAGACTGTTACACATTTCCCAAGCCACTAGCGCACATTTTCTATGTCAAACCACTTTTCTGTAAACACATCTGGCAAATGGCAACAGCTATCACCAGAGATCGACCGTTTTACAGAAACCAACCTACTAAACGCAATCGTACTTGGCGGGAGCATCAAATTTCCTTAACAACTTTTTAGTACCGATTCCCGCCCTCGTAGCGTAATTATTTAAGTAAAACACTTACCAGACTCTTCGATGTTGAGGCGTTCCATCAGCCATTCTATGAGGTCGTATCCTGAAACAAACACAAATATCAACTAAACAAAACAGATATTAAAAGTGGCAATAATCTATCCCACCTGAACCGCCCATTGTTAATTTTATGTGAAATTTTCGCACCAATCTCTTTTCTTCTGACAGGCTTAACTTCTCGGGTTGAAGACTTGACCAAGACAACATTCAAGCTCTTGATCTACACAGAGCTGCTGAGATGAAAGAATGCTCTATTGGTCATTGATCGTACTTACACAGTCTAGACACTAACCCCAAGTATATATCTAGCTCACTGTTCTCTCAGAGATCAGCGTGTCTGGTACAGTATTCAGCTGTTTTTGTTGATAACAATTGTATAAACGTGTAAGGTTTGATTTTGTTATTCATGTGAACAGTGTAGAAATGCTATAACCATCTCAAATGCACAGAATTAATCGTATAATTGTGTTAAGCTGTCCATACACAAATATTTGTTATAAATTCATCCAACCATAGTCCCTCTTGTAGAAGTATATTTGAGTTGTGTGACAAAAGCATAATATCAACCCTTTTAATTGAAACTTGATCTCAACTATACAAAGTGTGTTGTGTTTAGATGAACATAGGGGATTCAAAATGAAGTGAATTTCAACAAAAAGAAATACTAACAAAAAGAACCAGACATAAAAACAAAAAGAAATTCTAGTCCCAACTAAAACTTCCAAGATGGATTGAAGAGTTATTTGGTTCAAAAGACAATGAGGCTTTTAATGGAAAAGTGGGGGTTAAATACTAAAGGGACAACAGGCTATTGAAGACAGAACATTTGAGAAGCAACTTGTGCTGTTAAAACTTGTATAATTTTGTCTGTTGATTTGATGCAATCTGCGATTAAAACTGTTTTGAGTTTTGATTCCCAAAGTGCTCACCAAGTGAATACAAGATAGTTATGGTAAATGTAAGCTGGAGTTTCCAATGTAATTTGACTGTAAATCATAATCATTGTTCGACATTACCCTCCCCCCCCCCTTTTACATCCCCCTTATGTAGAAAGATAAAAAAAAATATATTAAAGGTTTTGAATTTAAGATTATAGGATTCTGGTTAGGTTGTCGAGCGTTTAAAAATTGTGTCTTCTATCAAGGGGTTCATAATATTATGAAACTATTTACAATACCTTCCGAAACTCCTAGATATATATTCATTGCTAATGAGTAAACATGTTAAAAAAGTATATGCAATTAACTAAAGATGAAAATAACAGATTCAAGGTTCACGCTTGCCCTCGATGTTCTCGCTCGATGATTTTCATTTAGCACTGAGTTATGAGGATACAACAAAAAGTTTAATTAATAAACTTTCCTAAGTGGTGAACTTGCGTCTTATCCTATTAGGCTAAACATCTTAAACTTACTGGGACGGAAGATAAGCGGAACTGTCCTTAGCAATATGGCTGTTACAAAATTAACCGCTAACTTTACCACAAGGGTTGTATTGTTAGCTTAGCAAACTAATCCAATATTGTATTATGATTATTTTATCTGAAGAAATATTGTCACTGCTTCAATTACTGAAACAAATTGCTCTAATAGTTTCAACTGTTAATAAACAAGCAAGCTTGTGTCTATGAGAACTGCTCTAGAATCAAGGGTAGGATTAGTGTTGGGAATTCATTAGCTAGGTAGGCAACATTAAATCCCAATCCCACAACCCTTGATGAACTACTATAGCAATCCCCACAACCAGTATCATTGGCTGGCTTTGCACATCACAAACAATGTTAGAGTATTGTTGAATAGGAAAACCAACAAACATACAACACCTGTGTCCACTTACATTTTGTGTATGGGTGCTAACCAATAAATATCAATGGACATTTTTATTTATGGAAAATGTTATTATAATGATGATTTTCCCATTAAATTCCATAAAAGGAGAGAAAAACATGATTTTCACAAAAATGGCTCATGATTACCATTAATTAAAAACTCACAATACAGCATACTAAATCGATGATAATTTTCATCTCTCCATTCTAACCATAAACCATACCAAATGATGATTGAGCTCAACTAGAACAGACTTTATTGAAGAAGGGATTAAACGCAACCGGAAGTGAATGAAACTCGCCGCGGCCGCCATTTTGAATATTTACCCCGAGGTTTAGTGCTTAAAAGCTGTATCCACAGCAGGAAACAATGAGAACCCCGAAATGTGTATAGTTGTGTTTTCTACAGCTCAATTCTAACGCTCTCCGTCAGATTTTTGAAAAAGTAAAACTAATCGCGTTCCCCGATAGTATATTTAGTTATATTATAACCATTACTGTAAACTTGTATAGATATGTTAGAGGAAAATATTTTACGGCTGGTTTTAATAAGTACTTGGAAAAATAAGCTGCTTGATAATTTGATGCTTTAGGAAGGAGGGGGAGAAATGTCTTAGGAATTGGAAAGAAAAGACATGGTCGGATTTCCATTGACGAAATCTGGGTCATCTTTAGCGCATCTGTTCATTACTCACCTGCTCAATAGCGACTTCCATCCCTCTCTTACTCTTTTCATACATTCCTTATTGCCTTACCTCACCTTTTAAAATTTATGACAAAGTCGTATTTAATATGTTCAAAGCCTTTTGTTGGATCATTAATTTTACTTAAGAGATATTCCGGTTATTTGAAATTTTCATGAACATGCAATAAAAATATAGGGTATTTGTAAGAAGCATATGATTAAAATTGAAACAAATCACAACAAAACTAATGTTTTATAAAATTATTTTCAGTTTCGGTTTTACATTCATTAACAAAGTTGAATTACATTGACTAATGTTTTGTGATAACGTTAAAACTGTAAAATAATTCCTTCAGTATTCTGCAATGGAAAGTTTCATCACTAAGGCTAAAATTATTGATGTCGTTTGAAGAAAGTTACATGCATCAGATATAACTCCGCCAACGCAATCAACAACTTTCTGTTCAAATCACTAAAATAAACTTTAAATTTGAATTTACCTTAACACTGTTGAAGAAATAATGCTGTAGTAATATGCAACACGATCGGTAACAAAATACATTGAAATAACAATACACTACACACCAATGATTTTATGTTTGTTCGGAACTATTTCTCGAAATCAGTGAACGAAGAAATTAACAAAGGGAACTATTAATAATTCTGCAGCCAAAACGGTTTTAACACGTACAATGCATTGATCGACCAAATAAAGTTATAATTGGACAGATTACTTATGTTATGCTGACTGGGACGGGTGGCGTCGTCCTGTAATCCAGCTAAGAGGAGGTCACGAATTGTGGATATTTATAGGCATGCACTGCGGATATGATACTCCCTGGTGTGGATTAACGTCCGCTCGAGTGAGTACTACGACTATCCGCAGTACTATCCTGAAAATTAGACCAATTCGTATATACCAAAACAAAAATTGAGGTTCGGATTCCACTATAAACTGTAGGTCCCTAAGTTGCCATTAGCTGTATGGGCTATTAATTAACAGCTGTGTCTAAGGAATGTCGGGCTTAGTCACTAACAAGACTACAAGATCGCGCCACTCATCTCCATTCATACTTGGCTTAAAATACCTACTATGTATGGTCGCCATTTCATCGAACAGTATTAACAGTTAGTAGTAGTTGTTTAACATTTGTTTTCCTTGCGATTATAAATATTTACCTCACTGAATTAAGGTAGTGTGTAAGGTAGAGTTTTAAGGTAGAGTGGTAGTGTAGATGTTGTTAGTGACAAGTTACTCTCAATTCGTTTCTACGAGCATCACAAAATGTCAGTACACAATGTAGATGTAATTCCCGTGTGATTGAAGTTCTGTCACCGCAGGGTCCAGTTTTAATTGCACCATGTTTGTGTGTGTGTGTGTATGTGTGTTGAGCCCGAGTTGTGTGTTGTGTTCAACACTAATTACACGTGGAAAAACTTTGTTGACTGAAAAAATACCGAGTTACCTCTGGGAAGGTCCATCGTGTAATCTTAGCATCGGTTCAAGTCGGAATAATTTTATATAGACTTTTCATATGCAATGTGAAACTTGTTTGATAAAACTTGGATTCGTGAATTTAATCTTTTTGAGTTTCATCCCTGTCGACTATTATTTTTGTATCTTTGGATGTATGATTTTGCTATACTTTTTAGTAATACCACAGAATAAGCTTGTTCATAAATGGATTGTAGTATTTAATTAAACTAGTGGCCGAAAACTTGACCAAAAATATCTAATGTACATGCTTCTCTATTTTCACCCCACGCTGTAAATAAAACATGTGATTGTAATTTCTTCCATTTGTATTGATTTTTTGTTTATATTTTGTTGTTATTACGTCACCAGCATGACAACCCATAAGGCCCTTTTTAGTTTTTTTTTTTGTAATTTCAAATTAATTTTTGTATTTATTTTTGAGCCTATTTTAATTTATAAAGGTATTCTGCACATCTACAGGTAAATATCTTTCTAATAGTATGCGTATATTTTCCCTGTGATGCACACGAGCTGAGAAAAAAAGTTTTAAAGAAACATGCTTGCCTATTAATATATGGATAGTTTTAAAATTGGCTGGAAAACAAGAGACGAAATACCAAACAACAAAACGGTCTCTTGGTACAGTATTTGGTACTTGGTACATTATTTGGTACTTGGTACATTACCAATCGTAAAATAGACCCTGAAATAACAGGGTTGGTTTGGACGACTTTAGTGCACCCAGAAGTAATCAGAATACGTACCCCGTCGCAGCAAACCTGCAGACTAAGCGAATGTCCATTAGCCTGATTGGCTTTTCACGAAGATATTTACTCAGACTTTTTGGTTTTATTTTCTATTTTAAAACATTGGATTTAAGGACTGCTTGCATTTTCTGCTACAGGGAAGAAAATAAGATGTTTTGTTGGCGAAAAAAATTTAGACTTTATTGACTAAAATAAATAAATAAATTTTATTAAACGGCCAATTTATATCACTCGCATTAACAAGGCAAACACTATGTCAAGAAAGTCTTCTTAGACTAGATCATTCCAAGTTTATAGATTACATCTAATCTAATCCTGACAGTAGTTCAAGAAGCGTTGTGACGCAGTTAAAGGGCGACTAACCATGGTACGTGTTATGAGTGTGTCCAACTATTTCCACCAAATGTCTTCCACTTGAATACAACTAGAATAGTAATTTTGCTAAGATCAAAAAGTGTCTTTACTTAACTGCCTTGTTATAAATTGTATGAACGCTTCAACATTATTTTACCCTGGAACGTTCGTTCCATCTCTGGTGCATCTACAACCTCCATTATGTCTCCGACATGACGTCAGAACTGTCAGCTGATCAGCTGATTGCATCATTATTAGATTACACCAACTCTGGTCCCGTCTACATTCTACGGCATCTACGATTTCACATCTCATTCGATGCAATAACAACAATGAGATTACGTAATTGTTTGGACGCTCAGCTGATTTCTAGCTAGCAACAAAATCAGGTGGTATTTTTCACGTATAAATTAAATGTTTGATAGTCACAGTTAAAACTATCGTTGGAGTTCGTTTTACACGAGATTATTTAATACCAACCGAAAAATCGAGTGAATAGAGCAAATAATAAATACTATTTATCTGTTAACAAAAATTGGATTTACTATTTAAAGATGAATGGAGTGGATGAAGACAAAAATAGTTTCGACACATTTCGTACCTACTTGATTTGTCAAAATAAAATCGTTTAAATTAAAACTTTTTGAGCCTTGGAGTAAAACTAATTGTAGACAACGGTGATGGTTTTCAAACGAGGCAAACCTCTATACTATTTTATTGAATTGATTTTAAATAAACTGTACTGTTAGAAATATTTGTCGTAGACTAAAATGTTTTGCTAAACAGATATTGCATTACTTCTTTGAAGTGGATAAAAACTTGATATACACTACTTCGAGTACTCCTGCATTTTTTCTAATCGATTGCAAGTTATTGATACAATATGATTTATTTATTTATTTCTTTTATTACAATGCTGCAAAACAGGATAAACCCAGTTACATTGTAGCATTAATATTCGAACAACAAAATCTTGACATGCATTATAAATAATAAATATGGTATTAAGAGACAAATAATTTCTATCAAAATTGAAGAGAAAGATTATGATATAGTTCCTACTTTGGCTGTTCTACATTTTGATCTAAGTTTCAAGTAATTGGTGCAAATTTGCTTCCATGTGTAAAATAAGACGAACAAATTATTTAAATTATCTTCCGTAAACAATTCAGTTGTAATTGAAGTGAGTCCGAAACGATCGCTGAAGATTTCTTTCCAGTTTGCAATGAGTAGAATAATTTGGCCAAATCAGATTCCAAACTTGAGTTCCAAACTGTAGTTGTTAAAAGTTTTAATCTAAGATAAAAGTTAACGGAAATCGCAAGACTTGTTCGCTTTTTCGTTGTTTTGAAATTCGCTTAGTTTTGTTAACACGATGAGTTGGGGTTATTTAAGTTATTAACTTACAAGTTGGTAGAAGTAGAAAGTAAAAAAAAATTAAGCTCTTACGATGATTTTATTTTATCCAACAAGTTTACAACGAATAAATGATCATTTAAATTGGAATCAGTGAACAATTTAAGTTTACCGTATGCATTTCAGCATTGTATCCAATGCAAATATTTCTATAACTGCGTTTCAGTGAATATATTCAACAGTTTGGTAGAAATACTCCACTGTTTATATTGAAACTTGGATCCTATTGACAATGTCTCGTTCAAAGAATATCTTCCACCTTACGGATTGTTTTCTTTATTCTGACTTTCCTATGCCACAATATGCTGTAAAGTATATGTAAAGTACCCCGCGTTGAGATGTCTTTGCGGAAAAAATCTATTTTCAATGTGGTTATTTTTGAAACATTCTTTTAAATTTTAAGTTTAGAACATCCTGCGTGGTTTACACAACATGTCAAACTAATCGTGTAATATTTAAGTATATTTTTGGTGTGCAAAATTTCATATTTCTGGACCGTAACACGTCTGGATAATGGTTTTAAATGATTTTATTCCATTTTGCTTTTAATTTTTAAACCGCAAGGTTTGCAAATGATTTTGATTTTGAGCTCAATAGAAAGTTTACGACGTTTTCCGATATTGAAAATTAACTTTGAGTAAAAAAAACTAAATTCTGAACAAATGTTAGTACAATATCTGCTTAACATTTTCCACTAAAAACTTCAGGATTGATACATTTCCCAAAAATGATTTGTCTATAGATGAATAACTACTGTTCGCAAAATTATTTTTCTTATAAGATTTGACGCATTATTTTAATTCACAAAAATCAGAAAATCCACTTCATACCATTTCATAAAGAGCTACACTCCCCCCACAAAAAATATATTCATAAACTTACCACAGACACGAACTTAACAGCTGTCAAGTGCTAAATGAGTTCGGAGTGTGTAGATTAAACCTATGTAAACGTACCCAGAGTACGTTAAAGCGAGTCAAGTTTTAATTGCCTTTGCTATTGAGGGCTCGCCTGGCTTAGACCAACACAATTACACCAAGGAAAGCTTTGTTGACTGAAGACTGTCAGCAACCTATATATTTGATCGGAATAAAACACATTATGTTCTGTAAATCAACAAAAAGTACTCTTGATTTTATTTCAATTAATGTTGCGCGAGGGAATCTGTACGCAATTGGCGCAATCGAGTTGAACATTTATTTCCGATGAAAATCTAAGTAATGCATAATCTTTTTGCCTTTAAAAGATTTTGTTTGTGTAAGACAGTTGTCAGGCGAATGCAACCACTAATCTAAATATATACAAGGCAAAGCCCTCACTGACTGACTGACTCACTCATCACTAATTCTCCCACTTCCCATTTACCTAGGAGGCTGAAATTCGGTACACCGATTCTTTGGGCATTAAATAGGAAAACTAAGTAGTTTTTATTCTGATCTGGCTTTCGGGCTCCGCCCCAGTGGCTCTGGAGTTTCCCATGTTAACCTTATGATTTTTCACATTTAAAAGGAATTTCTTAACAGCCGTTTCAATTAAACAAGTTGGTTCTGTTCTATGATTTTCAATATCATTAAAGTTACAAGGATTACCAACAGGGTGTAGCACTATTATTTTTTAAATTTATGACTACAGCCAATTTGCAACCAAAAGGTGAGTGAGCGTAGCGAACGAACTTCGACCTGGAAGCGAGTTAGCGTAGCGAACGAGCTAACCTGAAGGCAAGTGAGCGGAGCGAACGATCTCCAACCTAAAGGTGAGTGAGCGTAGCGAACGAACTTCAACCAGGACGTGATTGAGCCATGCGAACTTAACAAGTAACATCACTTGTGAAGTTAAACGGGGCAAAGCCCGCGGGTACTGCTAGTTTACAATAAATTAATACTTGATACTTAATATATAATACACGGCCGAGTCGGTAGGAGTCTTAAAGCAAACTACGATGTACAACAAATTGTAGTCTATTCCATTGCAAAGATACTGCCTCATTGCCTGTAACTTCTGGCAAATAAACAGGTTTTTAAAGTAGTAGGTTTAAGTTAAATACGTTTTATCAATTTAACAAACTTGTGTAAAAGAAAATGTTTTTCTGTTCAAGGAATTTTAAGCATTTATTTTATTTCAACATTTTATATGTTTTACAAAACGAAATCGATCAGTTAGGCAACTCTAAATCTTCTTCAATAGGAAAATGAGAAGTGCATTTCATGTGTAAAATAAATTATTTGCATCTGCATAACATTTTTTTCACATTCAGACACCAAAGCTCGGACTCTGATTAATTTAAAACAAGAACGAAACAACAAAAGAGACGACGTAAAATGTTTTAGATTCTGTTGGAGTCAGTAAGGGGCCCAGGAGCGTGGAAGTTTTTTGATTACGCGCTAGACTTCAGAGAATTTAAGTAAAACTTCACTAAAGTCGCAACTTATAACAGACTAACTTTTACAACTAAATCTAAGAATTATTTCAGCATACGATTTCAACCCTGTTTTAATAACCGTTCCATCTTGATATAAAGTTTCGTAATGTCATCTAGAAATATGGAAAAAATGTAATCATAAGTGTTTTAGGGTTGACACGTATAACAACCTGAACAAAACATTCAACAGGCTTTTCCGCTAATAATCACATTAAAAAAATTAATACTAACCTTTAAAAATTGCTAGGTTATAAACCTGATTTTAAAAGCGTAATAAAATCAAAGTTCACAATTACCATTGCCTATATACCATAGTCATATTAATATTTCTTTATAGTCTTAAGTGTTGGTCATAAGTCACACTTTATGTAAACTTTTTAGTAACTGTTTAATTTGTGAAGCACGAGAAATTAATCCTTTTAATCAACACGTTATTTCAGGGGGGTTAATTTGGGGGGTTTTCAAGAAGAGGGAATGGGGGTTTTCTACCGATGTAGAAGTTTGTCCTATGCAATGAAGGAGGTGTATGTGAGAAAGAGTAACACATTAAAGTAAATGTTATACTTGCATTTCCTCCAACCTAACCTAACCTAAAATGCACATCTTTTCCCATTAATTGTGCCCAATAATCCGTGGTTGACGTGTCTGGACCTATAGTCCGTATGGTGGAACCTGTCTCCTGTCCACCGTCTGGAGACTGTCATTGCTCGGGTCAGTTCTCAGGTAGCCAGGTTTCATCATACAGCTTATAGAGTCCATTCCCAACCATACTTAAAACTTAACCTAATCTACATAGACTTTGTATGGGTAAGTTTCCATGGCGGCTGCCATATTCTCATAAGGCCGAAACATATTAACTTTTTTTTTGTGATTGTACGGTATCTTACCCATGAACGCGGAGGGTATTGAGGTAAGGAAGAGCTTCTGGCTGCGGACTGGCACCCCCGTCTCTGGATCCTGCATTGCCCGTACCAGCCCCTCCATCTGTCAACATCAACAAACAATTAACAACATAACACTACAGTGAATTGAGTCATAGACATAGACTATTTTATTCAAGAGTTAGGTACAAATGATACAATGCACATCTCAATCGTCAAATACTAGTAGTCTAGTAAGCTTTTAAAACAAAACAAAAAAAAATAGTTAATTCTATTTTATTCTACACAAGATCTAAACAAATAAATAATAATGCCATGTTTAATAAGATGAGGCAGAAAGGAATTCTTCGATAGTATAAAACTCGCCTTCCACCAAATAAGTTTTCAGCTGTTCCCCAAAACCTTTAAAACCCTGCTTTACTTCTTCAGGAAGCTTATTATGGAAGAAGGGCCCCGAAAAATTTGCATTCCTTCCAGAGAGGGTCAGAGGATGACATGGAGTACGAAGATCTGCATGCCTAGTGGGGTATCTACGAGATTGACCAAACGATGGAATATCCTTCAGATGATTTACTGCATACATTATTGCTCTGTGGATGAATATAGAAGGCAAAGTTAAAATGTTGTTCTCCCGGAAGACTCCTCTGCATGGATGGAGTGGTGAGCCATTGAAGATATGCACTGCCCTTTTTGGACGGCCAAGACTTTATCAGCATGGGAGAACCACCCCGCAATGAATTAATCAGGTAATATTCGTACCAAATTACCGATCGTAGCAATCAGAGAAATAAGCTGTGTTTAACAATGAATAAGTCAAATAAATATTCAAATTTTCTTTGCAGTTTTTGAAATTAGAATTAAGGTTAAGTTAAACAGTTTAAAAGGTCAAAATACTGGTAAACTGAAAACTGGTTAGTTTAGTTTACTGGTATACTGAAAAAAGCAAGGTTTTCAAGGTTCCCCTGTCCCTGTATAGCTTCATATAAAAACTGGGTGAAATAACGATTGTATTAATAAAGTAATTGTTTCGCAGTGCAATCTTTTCTAATGTTGACTATTTACAAGATGATTGTGCAGGAGTATTGAATACAGTAAATTGAAACATTACTTTAGTGGAAAGGCAACATTATTCTCTACAACATAATCATTTTCAATAACTCTGTGAAAGAAATCTGTAGTAATTTGAATAAATACACAAACAAACTAAGCAATGACAAAATTGTAAACGTATTATTTTTGGCACAATAAGGTAAAAGAACACGAATGTATAACAAAAACTGGAGCAGTACCATAATGGCTGCCTGTGGTTTATAGCAGGCCCTTGAGGGGAGAAAACCGCATTTGTCACCACACACTGGACACACCACCGACATCAGCTGTTTGATTACAGCAACAATGTGTTGAAACAGCTGATCACTAAACAACACTAAAGTAGTTTACATCACTGAGGGATGATGAAGATCTGGAGATAGCTTCTTGGATATTTCGTGTCGCTGGTGGCCATTTTGTAGTATGGATTTTGTGGTATGGAATTTGATGAAGAGGAAAAATATGGAAAAAGTAAAACCCAAAGATTTATGTGTACTTTTAAGACTTTTTGTCAGGATGGAAGACTTACCTGAATTGGAAAGAGTCCAAACTGGCACAGGAAACACGAAACTTTACACTATATACACAAAACGTTAAAATATTTCACTGCCAGCATTTTCAATTGGGTCAGGTAAGTTGTTTGGTTGAAATTCTGTCAAAAGACAGTTAAATATTCAATTGCTTTGTGCACAGTGTAAAGTTGTGGTTTGTTGTGCCAGTATGGACTATTTCCCATTCAGGTAAGCCTACCATCATCACAAAAAAGTCTTACCAATTCTAGAAACCTTGTGTAAAGCTCTATTTTACACCCTTAACCTTAAACAGATTTATGCATGTGTTATCTTGACAAAAAATAGATTTTACTTGAACACTGACAAAAAAAAGGCTTCAACTAGAGCTATTGGCAAAACTGAAAGAGGTATAACTCTGTATTGTACACTACCATACCACCTTACCAACCAAACCAACGACACGTTTGGTGTTATCAAACTCTAAACTAGTGATACCTCCAAATATTATATAGCTTAGTGTTGACACCACACCCACTAGAAACACTACTGACAAATCAGCTGTTTTCTGGCCGCAACAATGGGAGGAGACAGCTGATTAACGCTAACGTAGTTGTCACCGAGGTGCGAAAACTGTTTCAGTGGCTGTGAACTCGTTTTAACTACTCCAAACGTTGTTCATTGTATTATGTAATGGTAGACATTAAATTTAACCACGAAACGAAAGACCACATGTTTCTGGGAGTTTTTTACGTCCCACCTTAACATTCTAGAACGCAAGGCTGTAGCCCGGGACCTTTTTCAAATTACTTCAGATAGGCCTGAAAAGTTGCGGAATTATCAATAAAAAAGAAAATACATTGGGGATTGGTGCGATTTGTTCCCGGGACCTTGAGGGCCGAAGCCCTTGGATACACCAACTCACTCCAAATGTTCCTTAGAGCACCTCTAATAAAGATAATAAGTGACACAATGACTTTAGTGTTTTTACCACAGTTTTATTACTTACCATATAATGTTAAACCAACACCTTGATGACCAGCATGTCCGAAAAACTCGAACAAATTTCAAACAAAAACTAATTTTCAAATAAAAATTATCCCTGAATTGTCCAGTGAGGGGCAAAAGTCTCACACACAATCAAAAGTTACTGTAGCAGACAGTTGAAGTTATTTATAAAACTATCAATGTCATTTTCATTTTCGTACCCAAGATTAGCTTGAGTCCAATCAATAAAGCTAGAGCTGATAACGTAACGTTTACATAGTGATAAAGTGATGCAGTCCTCGATGAAAACTGAGCTAAACAACTAATAAGAAATAAGTTTTTTCGTTTATTTATTTGTTTAAGGGAGGAAGAACTCTTGACTAGTGTTATTGAGGATGCGATTGTTATTTTATAAAACATATTTCTTCGATATCAATATTTATTTGTAAAAATTTTACTGTTTAAAATGCCAAGTGGGTTAGTTTATTCAAATTATTAATTTAATAAATATATATATTTAACTCATAATCAAAATACAAACATACAACGAAAAAATAACTATCCAAACCTAAATCGAACCTTACTTACCCTGCACGCAATGACAATTTTACAGCATAGAACGAATTTTATGATTAGTTTATTTTGAAAAATCATACAGAAGTCATGTCATGTTTATATTCATAGTCTGTTAAATAAATAATATAAGAGTTCAACAGTTCAATACCCCAGAACAAAAAGAGAGGTCATCAAAGAGTTCAATCTAAAGCTGCATTCAGTTTTACGTTTATGTAAAGTAGTGTTGTTCGATTTTATGTTTTCGGATTTATGATTTATCCCAATAACACCGAAAATGCTGTAAAACGAAATCGCCTCGAAACGGTCGGAATATTCCAGAGGTTGACGACTCTTATTAATTCACAACTTGAATGTTTAAGGGTGTAAAGTTAACTAGATCAAACCATTAAGTAGATGATTATATAGTTTCAAAATGAAGGGTAATTTATTTATAGCCTTATACATTTGGAATGGTTTTATTTACACATAATCTTTAACTATATGAGTAAACTTGAGGAGTAATTTCAAACGTTTTGTACAATGAATCTGGCCTGTAGCTAGAGATAAATATTTTTACAAATATTTTCAACTAAAATTAAACAATACAAATTTACAACTATGAAAATCTTTGACCTGTATTCATTAACAGCTTATCACATATTAATTGTGCAATTCATTGAATATGCAGGACTGTCGATTAGTTGATTATTAATTCATTGCCTGGAAGTGGACTTGTTCAAAAACAGATTTCGTTTGCTGGATTATATTTGTTTATTCAATTCGAAGAGGACTGTCAGCACCGAGCAAATAATACAATAATTGAATTGCATTTAAGTACTTAATGTCAATAGCAATTCCTCTGATTGAAATTTTAATTTTACAAAGTTCCTGTATTTATAATTTTACTGGCAATGTGGTTTAGACTTCCCTTACTAGGGGAGGTATTGCAATCACAGATTGCTAAGGTAAAATATTACTAATAAGGGAAGTGTTTTTGATTATTCTTTACATCTGCCTGGATTTTAAAATATTGCATATTTACTATTGCTCCTACAGTTAATATAGCTTCTTTTTGCGGGGAATGATTAAAAATAAAATCAGCTAAATTACTTCAACAACGGGATCATTGCGGAGACTACTTAAGGGTAGGGAGATTCGGAGGAAATAGTTTACTAAGTATTTCACGTAGAGAGCCCGCACACTCTGGTAGGCTATATTAAATATCACAATGAACAAAAGTGAAATGCCAGGCTCTGAGGCACTATTCTATACCCAACTTAATAACTTCTTGATCAGCATTGTACGTGTTATTAAATTTACAGAAAGTAAATAAAAGAAACGTCTTATAACACTTAAAACATGTATTTACGCTTATACTGTTACTCACAAGACGGTAAATATACAGTAAAGGTACCTAGTAAGTGTCGGTAACCATTTACCACTTACTACTTTACTACTTACTTACTTACTACTTAATACTTACCACTTACTACTTTTTTTGTATATTTACCGTCTTGTGAGTAACAGTATAAGCGTAAATATATGTTTTAAATGTTATAAGACGTTTCTTTTATTTAATTTCCTTACATTCAACCTATAAACTGTATACCTAGCATAATTATTTATAATTTTTAAGACTTGGTATGACAAATTATGTAACTGAAAAAAGTGCAATCTGAAGAGATGCGCACAAGGACAAATTTACAAAAAGTGTTGCTTCATAAATTTTACATAATTTCGGGATTTCACACTTGTTTTCTCCACTATCGAGCATCGTCACAGTAAACTTTATTTCTTAGTAAATATTTTGTTAAGTAACTAAAATCAAAGCCTAAATATTACTCAACGTCGTAGAAAGAACCCGTAAGAAGACAGCGGCTTCAATAAATGTTGCGACAAGCATTTGACAAGGAGATGACAGTCCTGATCCCTATCAACCCCCCCCCCTACATTACTCCCCTTA